TTTCTATCAGCGCCACCTGGGATGGGAGGGCCAGAGAGGTCGAGCAATTGGCCCAGGGTCCCCAGAGGGATGGCGAGCAAAGATGAGAAGCCAGGGCCCTGTCTTCTTGCTGAGCACCTTTCCCACCACACACTACTACCCAGAGATGGTGACGGAAGGCTGGAAAGGGCAGTATAAAGTAAGTTTTACCAATTGGCAGTTATGCCACTAACAGTTATTTAAAACACCAATATGGGCCAGAAACTGGGGGTATAGAGGTGGACAAGACCCCCTTCCTGCCTCCAGGTTGCTCAGAGTCCAGTGGGGAAGAGAGGCAGATCCTCCAGTCATGCCTACACAGGGTATTCAAAGCCATGCTGGGAGCCGGGGGTATGGGGAGTGCAACGAAGCTCAGGGAAGGCCGAGAGGAGCCATCTGTGTGAGAGCCCAGAAGGATAAGTGTGGGCTGGCCAGGTTAAGGAAGGCATTTCAGGGAGAGTGAACAGTGCCTCCAAAGATGGCCTGGCACGTGCGCCTGGGACTTGTGAGCAGTCCTGCATGGCTGGGTGAGGTGGATATCTGTGGTTTGCCCTCCCCCACGTCCATTCCCCCTTCTGGGCACATCACCGGGACTTTCCATTGGGGAACCAGCCCATCCCTAGCCTTCTGGCTCCAGGATGGGCAGGTGACTGCAGCTGGGCAATGAGAATGTTGCTCAGGGATAGGCAAGGGACCAGAATCCTGATGAGACTCGACTCAGAGACTTCTATAGCATGACAAGAAAGAGGAACTCTCTTTCCACTGGGCTGCTGGGGATATCCATGAAAGAAAGCCTACCCCAGTACGAAGCCAACCAGATGAGAGCACAGCCAAATGACTGAGAGAGACAGAGCCTGGATGAGATGGGCTAGTCCCCGGAACCAACCGTGCCTGTAGGATCTTCCCTGGAATTTCAGCTGTGAGGGCCCATCAACTCTGGTTTTTTGCTTAAATGAGATTGACTAGGGTTTTGGTCACCAGTAACCAAGAATCCAGACTAATGCAGTGGGTAAGAGGAAAAGGGGGATGGTGGAGAGACCCACAGGGGCCGGCTCATGAAGCTAGCTGGAGGCCAGGCTCTGCAGTTAAAGATTCATCAACCGCTACAACTGGGGCAATTCTAAACTACAAGCAGGTGACCTTTGATGGGGTGAATGTGTCTTTTGGAAACAAAAACTCTACTGAGAGAGAGACAAAGAGACAGAGAGACAGACAGGGAGGGAAAGAGAGTCAGTGACTCTTCTAGAAATTTCAGAGCCATTGGAACAACATTTCTGGGGTTTTCCCATCAGGATAGACGGACTGTTCTGGAATCTGAGCTAAATTATTAATCCATCAGCCCTGAAGGCACATATCGATTTATCTTAATTTCTGAAAATACACTCATGCCTTTCAGACCAGTCTTTTCCCTGTCACCAAGAAAAGAAGGGATCTCAATAGAGATTAATCAGAGGGAATTTGGCCGTTGGTAAATGCCCGGCTCTGGCTGAAACAGAACAGCCTCATTTCAGTGAGGAGCTGCTGGAAGGATGAATGGGCTCGCCTGTTCCCTCTGGCGCTGTGGCCAGCCTTGCACAGGGGCCTGGGAGACAATGCACTGGCAGATGGGCTGTCGCTGGCTCCAGGAACTTGCCTTCTCAAAGCCAGGAGAGAGAAAGCCAAGGGAGAAAAGTCTCCCTTCCAGCCCTTGGGAGCCTCCTCATTACACCGTCTCATTTCCTCTTGGGAGTGACAGACATAATTGGATCAAATGGAAACAGGAGCCAGCCTTCCTCCCCCTCCTGGATGACAGACTTCCAATATGGTTTCATTACCAAGTCTTGTGTAAATAAACTGTGTGGAGAAAAATGCCATTTGTTCTGCCATAATTACCTGATGAGCATCATTAGGTGGATCTTTGAAAGACGCAGAATGAAGTCATTTTGGGTTTAGAAATTCCTTTGTGCAAATCCTTCTCCATTCACTATTCCCCACAGAGGGAGTTTCTGCAGGGGTACTTCTAGACCAAAGAGCTAGTTAGGAACTCAGAGGCTGTTTCTAACCAGTGACACACTTAACTCTCAGTATTCAACCAACAAATATTTATCAAGTGCTTTTTCCATGTCAGGCAATCCTTTAGGTACTTGGGATATAGCAGTGAGTAAAACACAAAACGATCCCTACCCTATTAAGGCTTCTATGCTGGTAAAAAGTCACGACTCAGATGTGCTCATATCTAGGAATAAACTTGGGTGAATACCTCATAAACCAAGCTTGTTTAATTGAAAGATTGGGGAACTATTAAGTTAAAACTCTTCTGATTCCTTGTGTGTGATTTTGCTGTACCCATATGGATGTGACATTTGGAAAACTAGATTGCATGGGCTAGGGATACTAAATAAATGACATATGTGTCATAACTCACCAAAACCACAGCCATGGCAGACATCACTAATCAATCACTACTCTTTTTCTCATAAGCTTGGATGCAGCCTCAGAATACATATCAACACAGAACTGGGGCAGCCCCTGCCAGTGGATCAGAGTTGGCTGGGAGAGGAAACCTATTTGGCTATTTCTGACTTAGACTGTTTTTAATTCAGTTTACTAAGAGGTCACAGAACATCCAAGTAAATTAGGAATAACCCCAGGAAGAGACAAAAACTGGGAAGAAATGGCAAGAGATTGCAGCCAAATACTTAGGCGAGGTTTCCTCTCAACTGCTCTTCTCTCTCTTTTAATTGACATGTATTAATTGGACATATTTATGGGGTACAGTTATATTTCAACACATGTATACAATGTGTGATGATCAAATCAGGGTAATTAGCATATTCATCATTGCAAAACTTAATCATTTCTTTGTGATGTGAATCTTTGATCTCCTTTCTTCTAGCCATTTGATGACATGCAGTAAATTATTGTTAATTATAGATGCCTTGCTCAACTGTGCACCAATAGAACTTATTTTTCCTATTGAGCTGTAATTTTGTGTCCATTAACCAGCCTCTCATTACACTCCCTCCCCACTCCCCTTTCCCACTTCTAGTAACATCAACTGCTTTTCTCTCATGTCCTTATAGAGACCCACAAAACATAGCAGGTCAGAGCATGGGTTCTGGAGTCAGGCCCTGGTTCTGTTACTTCCCACTGTGTAGGGTCTTGGTCTGAGCCCCACTTGTCTCCCCTCTTAAATGGGTATAAGAATGATGCCACTCTTCTAGGGTTCTTGCGAGGATTAAACAGGCCAGCACAGTGCCCTGTCAGCTCTGATCAGGGGTAAAATTCAGTTGTTACACATCAGAGTGGGTGCACAGTTGTTTACAGCTGGCATTGTTCTCACTGGTTGGCACTTATGCCATCATAGTTGTTTAATATTAATATCCCTGGGTTGTATTAAACACCCCTGGGTATTAGGGTTGTATTAAACACCCCTGGGTATTAATATTAGTTTCACTTGGGGAGCTGATCCCCTTCTGGGAAACAACTTCAGAACTCTGGAGGTTAAAACAGATGTATAATGTTTTTCAAATGAAAATAATATTTTAGCAGAATTCTAAGTTGTTTTTTTGCTAGACAAGAGTTTATGTTCCCCAGTTCTGGACTGCTCCACCAGTCTTTTATATTAATACATTGATAATGATAATCTTTAGGGCATTTATTAAGAAGCACTTAATAAGAATGGTCTCATTTAATCCTTTCAATGACCATGTGAGGATTAAAGTATTATTAAACCCATTTCATAGAAGCAGAAACTGAGGCTCAGTGAGGCAAGGATTCCTTGTCCAAGATCACACAGCTGTTAGGAAGTGGCAGAGCTACGATCTGATCTTGGCAATCTAACCCCAGCATCAGAGTCTTAATCAGTGTGTGTGACAATGATCCTTTGCTTTGAAACTTGATGCCCAACTCAAGGGGCATCAGGGTTGTGTATTCACAGAGGCCAGCTCAGCAATGGTGCCAGCCATCCCTTGTGGGCTGGGGATATGCCTTAGTCAGGGGGATATGCCTTAGTCAGGTGTCCCAGGAATGGTAGAAGCTGGCTCTGGCAGACCACAAGGGCATGAGACAAGCTAACTCTCTCTTCAGTGGGTACAAGCCTTCTTCACCTGAGAACAAGACAGAATCCCACAAATGAGGAGAATGTGGCCTTAGAAGTTTGGGTGGTTACCTAGTTACTGGTTAACCAGTGACTCCTTTACGACCACTGTCAGAAAGCTTCTTCAACTCATGGGCTGGTCAAATAGGTTATAGTAAATATTTATTTATTGAATCTTTAACAATTTCTACCATGTATTAATTGCTGGTCATGTTCCCAGGTTATGTGCTACGCACTTTCTAGACAGTACCTAATTTAATCTTCATGTAGCTCTGTAGGGTAGGTAGTATTATTATTCCTTTATTTCGGCTGAGGAAAGAAAGCTTTAGAGAGGTGGTCTAACTTGTTCTGAGTCAGACAGCTACTGAGTGTTGGAGTTGGGATTTGAAGGCAGGCCTTTCTGATTCTACAACTGGAGCTTTTATCCACTGGTCTCTATGTCAAACTCCTGCAGTGACAGATACAAAAAGGAAACCTTGAAAGAGGTGGCCAGGAACTGTGGCAACTGGGAATTTGTGAGGCCAGGTGGCCATTCTCAGAGTGGAGCAGTCCTCTAGGCCTGTGTGTCTCGTCTGGCCTTCTTGTCCTCTCTCCCCCAGTGCTGGCTTGCTGGCATCTCAGTCACAGATAGGAAGCCAGACCTGTCTTATTCCAGCATCTTAAGAAGAGACGTAAGGCAGATGCGAGGCAGAGCTGTGGTTAAGATCAGCCTTTGGCGGTCTGAGGGTGCCCCCCTGAACATCCCCAACAAGGAGTGGCCCACAGGCCCTGCCTTCTTCGCCTGAGGAGCGGTGGGGCTACAGTCTATCTAGGCTCAGACAGATGGTTGGCCTGGCAGATGCCTGCCAGGACAGGTGCCAAGGGGGCCATGCCAAGGAGAAGGGGGCTCAAGGGAGTGGCTCACCTTGAACGAGATTTCATACTGCTCCCCTCCCCAGATCTCCAAGCCTGGGTCGTACCCACCCAGCTCCCAGAACCACTTCCGATCCACGGCAAACAGTCCGCCGGCCATCACGGGGGACCTGTTGGAAAAGAAGACATGGTGTGAAGATGCAGACATCCTGGCTGCCTGCTCCTCCTGCAGCCTGATGATGCTGTCCCCAGTGCTGGTTCCATGTACTCCATGTACACAGCCCATGTGGCTACCCGGGAACCCAAGGCCCTTCCCAGGGAGGGCCCAGGCTTTCTCTTTCTTGCCTACTATTTCCCTTTACAAAGCTACATTCTAACCAAACGGATCCAACATTCCTTTAAACCTAAGAATTACACCTAAGATTAACACCTGAGAATACTTGTGAGACGAAATCACAGTACTTTTCCCTCATGGGCCTTGTAGCTATGTCATTATGTGTGTGTGTGTGTGTGTGTGTGTGTGTGTGTGTGTGTACATATATATAGACAGAGAGAGAGAGCATGTGTGAGACTTCCCACTAGTGAAATGGTCTGAATCAGGTCTCTCCAAGCCTGTCTGTGCTGTAGGATCTCTTAGAGAGATGAAAAAATGTACAGCTTGCTGGGCCCTACTCAGAGCCACTGAAGCAATCTCTGGGGGTGGAGCCTAGGAATCTGTTTTTGAATACTCTCCTTGACAGTTCTTACTCCGCAAGCCCAGCATGGACATTAGTTCTGCTGTGGTGTTTATGGAAGAAGCCACAGTCTCTGTGCTTTTAGTTACACTGGGAGATAAGATGAACTCCACTCATTTGTTCTTTCATCACTTTATTCACTGAGTGCCAGCTGCAAAGCAGGAGCTGGAAGAATACTGTCAGAGTCCTTCAGGGGATGCCAGTATGGTGGGGCAGCCACCTCAGGACAGAGGATGCAGAAGACCAGGCATGGTGCAGTAAGAGCCTCCGGGAGGGGCAGAACGAGCACTCTAGGAAGGTGAAGGGAGTGTGCCTGCTTCTGGCTTCTGAGGGTGAGGAGGGAAGCTGGGGCAAGACTCAAGGTAGGAGTCTCCGAGGAGGGGGCATCTGAGTGGGTGTGGACAAGGGTGAGCTGGGAGGAGAAAACCACCTCAGCAGGGCCACGCCAGGGGGAAGAGAAGAAAATGGGCGTGGCACCCCAGGGAGCAGGAAGTCAGCATGGCATGGTGCTAAGCCTGGAAGCCCCCTGGTGCCTCATGTGGGGCCTGGCAGGGGCCAACCAGTGTTTGCGGTGTGGAATCTATCCCAGCGTGGCCTCCAACCACAACACTCCAGCAGCAGCCTCCACCCCACTCCTGGCCCTGGGAACTGCAAGCTCATGGGAAGTGGGCTGATTTAAAAAGCCCACTTTTTAACCCACATGAGCCTTTACAACACAGGAGGGGACTCATTTAAAAGGGGATCCCCTTGAGTATTTACTGAAGGCTTGCATTTGCCAGGTGCTGTGCTAGACTAATTTATTAATAAAATGAATTAACTCCCAGTGGGCCCTCAGGAGGTAGGCCTCATCACTGTCGCCCCCATTTTACACACGGGAAACTGAAGTACAGACAGCTGACCTGCTGCAGGCTCCACAGCTACTAAGCAGCACGGCTGGGATTGGAATCTCTGAGCTAAGCCACCGTGCACCCCTCTCGCCACCACAACATGCTGCCTCCTGTAGGGAAGGAAGGACTGAGAAGACTGAGAAGTAGGCAGTGAATGAAAAGGACAGGGGATCAGAAACTGGGGAACCCTCACTCTACTTTCTGCTCTCCTTAGCTTGCTGTGTGACCTGAGATGAGGGGGCTTAACCATTAACCCTGTGCTGTCAGGATGGAAGCCACTGTCCACAAGTGACCACTGAGCACTTGAAATGAAACAGCTCTGAACTGAGGTGTGCTGTAATGTAAGACACATACCACATTTCCAGGACTTAGAGAGTATGAAAGAACTCATCAATAACTTAAAGTGTTGTTACATGTTACAATGATATTTTAGATATACAGATTTAAATAAAAT